ATGAATTATTTTTCTATTATTAATTATGATAAAATAAAATAATAAAATAAATAAATAAAATAAATAAATAAAATTTGTCGCGTATTTCAGATTGTTATGAATTATTTTTTTATTATTAATTATGATTGTTAGGTCGATGGATCTTATAATAACATACTTACCAAGATTAATCGAGCGTCAAAAAATTGTATGCAATTTTAATTATCTTATAAATATATAATTGTTACATAACTATTATATAACTAATATACAGGGTGTCACTTAATTGGCGCCCACTATTTGTACAGCGATATTCCTCGTGGAAAACTGAGTCGAAAAGTCCTGAACTATTTTTTTCTATAATGAAAAAATTTGAAACCATTTTTTTTGAAAAACCATTTTTTCTTCTATAATGCGAAAAACTTTATTTTGCATTAAAAATCATATTTCTTCCGTTAAGAGCGTTTCCTTAAAGAAAATTTCGTCAAGGAGGCTAAAGGTTGGTGCTTATTGGTGCAACTTTACTCAATAATTACCGCTTTATTAAGCATTATAGAAAAAAATGGTTCAGGACTTTTCGACTCAGTTTTCCACGAGGAATATCGCTATATAAATAGTGAGTGCCAATTAAATGACATCCTGTATAACTAACATATAACTATATAAATAAAATTATTTCTAGACATCCAGCCATCTTTTAGGTCTTTATAAGCGGCAATATCGAGATTAAGGAGAGTTTTGTGCATTAATGATTACTTTGCGATTTCGCTTACGTAAGAGGCGGCATGAAAATGGACTTCTCTCTAACTTAACGTCGATCTCACGGTATATTTGCTAATCCCGTCTACTGCTAATTCAATGGATTTCAGGCTTAGAATTCCTTGCTTTCACTGGCCAAACGAATGAGTCCAATCGCGAGGTCCTTTCCTCGAGGTCTTGCAAAATTTCGCACGTTGCCGCGAAACCAAAATACACGCGATCCACAATGAAACGCGTTTCTCAATGAGCCTTTAACATACATACACACACACATATTCCAATCTCTCTCTCTCTCTCTCTCTCTCTTGAAGATTCAAATGAAACGACGGACTAACACGAGTGATTCCATGCAATTGTGGAATTGAATGTTTCTAATAGAACGGGGTATATTATACTTTATTTAAGAGAGGATATTCTTCGTAATCGCGTAAATGAACATGTTGCAAATTGGCGTAAATCAGAGAAGACCGTGGACTTGGGCACTAAACGTTCTAAATGCGGACGGTCGGCTCTAAATTAGGCCGACCGTTAAAATCTTCTACGCTTCGTCCGCCTTGATATTATCAAAGCGCCGCGAAAGTGACCGGGCAAATGTTTCCATTCCGCTCGCGTCATCGCTAAAAATGCAGGAGAGACGCGACGCGAAAGCACAAAAGCACGAATGGCGCGTTGCAATCGCGAGATTATGATTAACGACGGGCGAAAATTGCCGATTGTCCCATCGCGAAATTCGTCCCGCGACGAAACAAGAGAGTCACCCTGTACATTCGAAACGCGCTTTCTCGATCTAACACCTGATGCTGCGGAAATTGAATGCGCTCGAAAAGTAATATTAACGGACATTCTGGACACATTGTATAGATTCGTGGATCGAGGTTTTATTCGATAATAAAAAAACTTTGCAAGAAGATATTCATATTTTTTCTTTCATCGAAATCTGTATTTTCTGAAGATTCATCCTTTTTGAAATTTATTATTATCATTTATCATATTCATTTTTTAGCGAATTTTTTTAAATGAAAAGTATAGGTATTCCTTGTCAAGAAAATAAATAATATAAAATAAATATGTATTATAATAAATATATTTTTTTCCTTCGACCGAAATCTAATTTCTGAAAATTTATTTCCATGATTTATTATTTTTATTATATTCATATTTTAATTTAATTTTTTTATAAAGTACAGAATTTCTTGTCAAAAAGATATTCATATTTTTTCTTTCATCGAAATCTGTATTTCTAAAGATTTATCATTTTTGTAATTTAATATTATTATTTATCATATTTATTTTTTAATGAATTTTTTAAATGAAAAGTATGGATATCACTCGTCAAAAAAATAAATAATATAAAATAAAAAATAAATAATGTATATTTTTTTTTGTTTAATCGAAAGTTAATTTCTGAAAATTTATTTCCGAGATTTATTATTGTTATTTATTGTATTCACTTTTTCAATGAATCTTTTTATACAGATATTTCTTGTCAAAATATGCATATTTTTCTTGTCAAAAAAATATGCACATTTTTTCTTTGAAATCTGAATTTCTAAAAATTTATCGTTTTCGAGATTTATTATTATTATTTATTATATTCAATTTTTAATAAATTTTTTTGTGAAATAGATATTCCTTGTCAAAAAAATATTCACATTTCCTTTGATGAAAATCTAGATTTCTGAAAATTCGTTTTATTGTTTCCGAGATTTATTATATTTATTTATTTTTTAACAAATTGTTTTATAAAATATAAGTATTCCCTGTAAAAAAAAATATATATTTTTTTTTCTCTGACCGAAATATTTAAATTTCTGAAAATTCAATCATTTCCGAGATTTATTCTTATTATTTATTACATCTGCTGTTTTTTTTTCGACTAATGATCCGAATGATCCTGCGCATTTTCTGACAAGGAACACTATCAATCTACTTTATCCTATCTACAAAAGGCCAGTATATTCTGGCAGAAAAAATAATTCCGTTTCTCTCATCCTTTTTTACATCGCAAACAAAAAAAAATCCTCAAGAAGAGAGGATGACGTTGCGTCATCCTTCTGTCCTTCGTTTCTTTGTCTCTCGTTCCCTTTCTCGACCCGCAAAAGTAATCACTCGAGGACGCGAGAATCGGCAAAAGAGGTGGAGGAGGAGGAGGACGAAGAAAATGTGAATTTCGATCGTGAATCGTAGAAACTGCGCACTTCCCGCGCGGTGGGCATCTGGCGTGGAAGAGGCCAGAAGGGATACCGAGGGGTAAGAGGGGTTTCCCGGAAGGTTCTCACGGTCAATAGCTTTCCCGGCGGTATGCGGCTGGAAAGTGCTCGAGGGGCTGCCCTTCCCCCCCGTCCATCCCCTCACCCTCAACCCCCTCGGTTCCCTCCTCTTCCGTCCTCTTGCCTGCAGGCTGCATTCGCATTTTGCGCTTACGTCCCTTATTCCGTCGTCCTTTCGAGGATTTTCAAAGTCGAATATTCCCCATACAGCACAGATCATTGGCAGCAATATTGGAATACTGCAGCAATATTACAATGTTGCTGCAATATTGTAATACTGCTACAATGTTGTAATATTGCTGCAATGTTCTGTGCTGTTTGGGTCAGCAAGAGTCCCTTCTTCCCTTCCCAGGGAAAATATAATACCTGGCGTGACAAATCGAAGGGACAGAGATGACGTTTGCGGAATTTCTCGGATAGATCGAAAGGTGGACGATGGAAAAAGTGAAACGAGGAGGCGAAAGGACGAGTCGGGTTATTCCGAGGCGGCCAATTAACGTTCGCGATCCGCGCGAAATTACTATTCGCGGCTATCAATGGAAATCGATACCGCCGTTGGCGGTTTCGGCGACGACGGCCGCCCGCCACCGGCCTCGGATAATTACGCGGGAAACGTCGCGGGACGACGGAGGAAGGAGAGGGAAAATTGGAAAATCGACGGATATTTCGGGCGATTTGCGGTTTCCGAAAATTCCCTCTCGTCTCGGAAAGGAAATCGAACCTCGTCCTATTCCTAAAATATAAGTAAGGCGGATTTTCTCCCATTTATATTTCGAGGAATCCTTCCTCCTTCCTCCTTCCTCCCCCCTCGTTCTTCGGGAAAGGAATTTGCATATTGCTCGTACTCTATCCTTCACGGTCCGCGGATTATCGGATCTATCCATTTATTTGATTCGCTTAAGGGAACGACGAGCAGCGCATATAACGCTTTCTTTTTCTCTATCTCTCTCTCCTCCTTTCCCCCTCTCGCGCCTCCCCCCCTTTCACTCCATCGTACGATACGCGCGCGCGCGCATAACACACACGCGAGTTTTTTGTTTACATATATTCCTGCAGCGACGTTCCTGAATACGTCGCATTGTTTTCGCCGTGTATTTTTAGAGATTCTTCCCAGAGCGCCTAATAAATTATCCTTTCTCTCTCTTTCATTCTATCTTTCTCCCCGTTTCTTTGTACATCACGCATCCCATACAGCATAGAACATTGTAGCAATTTGCTGCAATATTACAACAATATTATAGCAATATTGCTGCAATATTACAACAATATTATAGCAATATTGCTACAATATTACAACAATATTATAGCAATAATGCCGCAATGTAGCAACAATATTATAGCAATATTGCCGCACGTAGCAACAATATTATAGCAATATTGCCGCAACATTGCAGCAATATTATAGCGATATTTCGTGCTGTACGGGATCTTGGTTCTTCCCGCCGAAATTCACGAGGCCGACACTCCCGCGCCCGTGAACCGCTCATTCACACGCCGAGCGATTTGACACACAAGACGAGGCAAGGGAGGAGGGGGCGATGAACGGGGGTCTCCGATTTCCGAGTGTCGTCCCCTCGTCATCGCCGATGACGGATTATCGTCGCGCGCGATTCAGCGCCGTCGCGGAAATATAACCGCGAATCGACCGAAAATACCGACGACATGCGCGAGACGAGGACAGCGAGAGAAAGAGAAAGAAAGAAAGGGAGAGAGAGAAGACACAAGTGTCGTCGACGTGACGTTGCAAGGCGGGTATTTTTCGATCGCGACGTGAGAAGGAAATAAACAAAGGAACCTCCTCTCGCTCCTGACAGACGAAGGGAGAGAGAGAGAGAGAGAGCGAGCGAGAGCGAAAGAAGGAAAGAGAGAGAGCGCGCGCGCCGGTCGGAAGAGCCCGCGAGAGACGAGACGAGACGGGACGGGCAAGGATGCTTTTTACGCGCGGGGTATACAATTTTACGCGACGCGTAATAATGGCGCGAGGAGCCTTACCGTGTATCGATACCGTGCCTCCGAAGATCTCCCGTATCACACTGCCCGGTCGCGACCGCCAGCACTTTCACACATATATTTACGAGCGAGCCGCAGTGGATTTTCGGCGCAGCGACCATGTATAAACGTACACCGACACGGGTCCCCCTTGACGGAACTGAGGCAACGTTGGCCTGACACGAGCAGGCCCGTGAACAAAGACCACAAGATTTCAAATCCCGCGGCGCCGATTGGCCGGGGCGGGTCACGTGGCCGGGACGCGCGGCCGCCTATTGGCCGGGCGCCACGGGGCTGCCAGGACGTTTTGAACGATGCGCCGCAATGCACATGGCTGACAAAGAGCGGAATTTTCGCGGGGCCGCCCTCGCCGCCTCTCTTCCTATCCACTACGGGTCACCCGCGAGAAGCCGCGATCTGTCAAACGGGGCGCGCGCGCGATCAGCTGGATCGGCGCCGCGTCACCTGTCAAACGCGCCGACCGTCGCAACGCTTCCCCGACACTACGTATATACACGATATACACTCGTCTCTCGCACACGCACGTTTCCCTAACCTTCCCCACAGAGAAAATGGCCGAACCCAAACAACACTGCGCGCGCGGACACAGTCACTCACCTCGATGGCGTATCGCGATATTTATCCCGCCTCGTGGATCCTACGATCCAGATGGGTCTCCTGACAATTTTTCCCGGAACGCACCGAGCCGCGTCTCTCACGCGCCGCGCGACAAACAATCGCCGTCCCCTCGGACGAGGTTGAATCGACGATGGGCGAGTCCATCGTGGCCACTATAGAGGGGTGTCGGGCGGCTCCTCGGTTAAGAATGAAGCACACTACGCGATAATGGCGGGAAGCTACGTATGTACGCGGGCCACATGGCGATTTATCGACTCCGAGCGGGTAAATACCCCCCGCTCCTCCCGCAGCACCACTTCGCTCTCCTCGTGGAATTTCGCGCGAATTCGAATCCGATTTTTTTTTCCTTCCAGCTCCGGCAAATTCGTCGTCCCTTCGCTCCAGGTCCCTTACCTCCGAGATCGATAGACGGTTTCTCTCTCTCTTTTTTTCTTTAATTGAGAATTAGCTCTTTGAATATATGTGTGTCTCTCGAAATTTTTTATTTCCCAATAATATTCCTTACCAGTGATTATTACATGGCCCACTGTGATACTTTCTTAAAATAAGTATTATAATACATTGTTCATTTTATCTCAGTCTATTCGGCTGCTCGGTTACTTCGATGGGTATACATTAATATTTTTGTTCTCTTCGTTGCTTCAGTCCCATAAAAATATATAAATATATATGTATAAATATAATATATATAAATATATGTATATATATATATATATATATATATTTATATATTTATGTACATATATACTTATATTCAAGCTTATAAAAATATTTATTCTAAAATAACATTCATATATGTACTTTATAGCTTTGCTTATTTCAAGAAAATTCTCTATATTGAGCAATATGCGCGTATTACTTTGGTCCCAGTAGAACTATATTTACAGCACTGTTGTTTTTGTACTCCATTTTCGATGAATCCATAGAGATAATAAATAGAAACTGTTTAATCTTCATTGGATTATGCTGAATCCGACTCCAATTTTCTAGATTCTTGATATCGTTATTTACATTTTCTTCCATTCATTTTTATACATCAGTCAATCTTGATATCTCTTGTGTCCTGTCGTTATTAGACTTGAATCATTTTTCGTATTTGTTTCTTCATGAACATTGGCACGTTATTCTTCATCATTGTTTCCTTATATTTATTGCTCGAGGATATAGCTTTTCGAGATAAATATATCCAACAGTCGTAAACTTTCGAAATTGCGTAACATTAATATATATAAATGCAATATATATAGATATATATTGACTTGGTATAGTATTGCACATATAATTTGCAAGCTTAAGAAGAAGACTCAAACTACTATTATTGGCAAAATTGTAGAGCCACTATTGTATTCCCACTAACTCTAAATATCTAATTATGGCACCTTTTAGACTTTTATAGTATAATATACTGCTTGTTGTATATATTACTGTTGTGTTTAGGCATTTGCAACAGCCGGTATTATTTTCGTATATATTTCTACTCCCTTCAGAAATATGTCTTTGTTTAAATATTCATTGTGATTGTGAAGAAGTATTTTTGTCTTGTTCATTGGAGAAAAGCAGATAGCAGGAATTCCCACCTGAAAAATAAAAATATATTTAAAATTATTTTATTTTATAAAATAATGATAAATTAATACGATGAAGCAAAAATTACAATACTATAATGCTTAATTTATAATGATTGCTTATATTCTCAATTTGACATTTGGACTACGCATGATTTATTATTCAAATAAATAATCATCTTTAGAAACAAAAGTGTATAAATTTAAAGATTTATAAAAACGTTGAAAATAAAAATTTATAAAAATGAATGCAAAATTTTTATAACAATTCAACTATTAAAATCTTAAAATCTTAAAGCTACAATTTTAAAGTCATAAAGACAATACTTATGTAGTCTTTTCTACTTAAAAATAAAACATCAAATTTTAATATAAAGAGAGCAATTCAATATGCTCACTTCACGAATATAAATTTAAAATAAAGATTTATAAATATGTTGAAAATAAAAATTTATAAAAATAAATGCAAAATTTTTATAACAATTCAACTATTAAAATCTTAAAGCTACAGTTTTAAAGTCATAAAGACAATACTTATGTAGTCTTTTCTACTTAAAAATAAAACATCAAATTTTAATATAAAGAGAGCAATTCAATATGCTCACCACACAAATATAAATTTAAAATAAAGATTTATAAAAATGTTGGAAATAAAAATTTATAAAAATAAATGCAAAATTTTTATAACAATTCAACTATTAAAATCTTAAAATCTTAAAGCTACAGTTTTAAAGTCATAAAGACAATACATATTTGATCTTTTCTACTTAAAAATAAAACATCAAATTTTAATATGAAGAGAGCAATTCAAGCTCACCTGACGAATATAACGGCTATCTGTGCCTCCTGGAAAGATGGCAATTTTCAACTCAACACCTATTTCGTCGCAGGATTTTTTAAAAGCGATCCAGAAAGGATTAGAATCGTCAAGCTTCGTATTTTCGATTTTCGGATCTTTCGCGTCGAAGGAGTAAGTTACATCTGGACCGGCTTCCTCGCACCAACGTTTTATGGTAGCCTCGAGTTCTTCGTGATCGACACTGGGCGTTATACGAATATCGAATGTAGCCTTGAGCTCGGCGGGTATAACATTATTTTGCACGCCACCCTGCAAAGACATATTTAACAGATTAAATTTAGGAAATGTTGAATAGAAAGACTGGATAAGAAAGAGAATGTAGAATTCAATAAAACTGCAAATTGGCAGAGAATAAAATTCCAAGCTAATTGTGTAAAGTAAGGGAAAATGTAAAGCAACAAAATACAATATGATACGCATATCATCATCATCATTGAACGCAAATAATTGGATATATTATTAGGTGAACATATTAAAATACTCACTGTAGAATATGAATCCCAATGGAATAGACATGTAAAATAGTAAAATAAACAACTATCATGTAACAGCTTGAAAACTAAAGCTAATTCATTTATTTGAGAGAATAATCTTTTTTCTTCATTCTTCATGTAAATTCTATTCTTTTGATATGTAATTATATTCTTTTACATACACGTGAATTTAGTAGAAAATTAAATGGACAAAAATGAATGAAATGACTCAATGCATAACTTATGATTTCATTCTCAAAAATAACGAATCGATGCTCTTGCATCCGTTGGGTGGTAAAAATGCATACACAGGCGGTAAATACCTACCGAAATCTTTGTAAGATTGACAGACGTTACTTCGCCAAGTTTGATATCAAGGGGAGTTTCCAGCTTCGCTTTCTCGGCTTCTCTGAACTCCATGAAACGGTTGATTACGACTCTCAATTTCTCCCCAGCCGTATTGTTCAACATAACCGAGCCGTGACCAGTAGTGCCGGCACAATTTACAGTCACTTGCCAGATGGATCTCTCTCCATAGAACATGGCAAAATACTCCTCCGGACAGGCCAAACCCTCGTCCAGGGAAAAACCGATGTTCAGAGCTTTAAAATCCGCAGTGTGCACGAAATCCTTCATCCCGAGAACACCGCCAATCTCCTCATCCGGCACGAAAGAGATGTGAATAGTGCGTTGATAGCGTTGTCCATTCAGCTTGAGTCTGCGAATCGCTTCCAAGTATTGTATCCCGACGCATTTCATGTCCTGGCTACCGCGAGCGTAGATATTACCCTGCTCGTCCATGTGAGCGCTGAACGGTGGATAGGTCCATTTGTCCTGCATCAATCACGAGAGGTGAATCACGATATTCTAGTCTCGTTAACGTGAAATTTAAATGCCAATAAATGCCACTTACCTCGAAGACTGGCACAACGTCCATGTGGCTGTTCAAGAGGATAGCCGGTTTTGCCGGCTCTGTTCCTACCCATGTGAGAACCACGATCGGTTTATCGGGATGTATGTGATAGACCTTAACTGGCAAGTCGAGCGACTGCGCTTGTCTCTTTAAAAATGCCACGCATTCATCTGAAATGAAAGATACAGAATGTAGAATGTTTAGCCTCTAGAATCTTCAAGATTCAAACAACAAGAATATTCCAATAATTAATTAGATAATAATTTTAGTTAATAATTAGATGATAAATTAATATCTTATATAAGCAATTATTGGAACAATCTTCTTGTTTGAACTAATATAACTGATGAGTCTTATCTAGGATATTCTAAATAACATGTGGGCTCATAAACTTTAAGACTCTCTAATTTAAATCAATCTTTAATTTAAAAATCTTTGCATTGTAAACATGAGATCTAAAACGTTAACAGGTAGAAGCTGTTATCTTTAATTCTCTCTTATCATGTGAAAATTTTTGAACATCTTGAAGTATTTAGTGGCAAAATAGCATCTAAAAAAAATGTTAATCTCAATGTCGGAAATTGAGTCCCATCAACAGCAGCTTCATCACGCTTCATGTTTGTGTTTGTGTCTATTTTCCAAATATCTTCATGATGACTAGAAAGCTCAATAAATTTTTTAATAAAGCAGCACAATTTTTCAGCACAGTTTTGATCAATCATCCCTAAAGGAGTCTAATGAGACTTTTTCCAGGAACCTGTTAAAAAAAAGAAGTCCAGCAACTTTTTTCATTATTAAAAATTAAGGTCAGGTTGCACTAACATTAATTTGGACTTGAGTGAGATCGAAGTAGCCTGTCTACATCTTTGTCTTCCTTCTTACCTAAAAAGACAGACATATATCTTTGAGTCTTCTAGACCTTGAGACTAGCCTGGACTAATATTACTATAACCGGGATCCTAAATAACGTGGTACCAGCGTGACAATAACCTACATATCGCGACGACTAATTCCTCCGATACCTACCCGGCAATCATCCGAGGGGCTAGATGGTTGCAGCAAGTGAACGGAATTAGGCTTGATTGCCAATTGCGGCCTCTTATCTATTTTATCAGAGATAGACGGAGACGATAGATCAATTATAACTGCACGTCTCTTGTCAGGGAACCGGGGGGGCAAATTTTCCAAGGACTCGTAAATCATAGGCCCCGAGCACGAGACGGGATCCCGGTAGCCCGAATTACGTAACCAATTTGCTAGATGAACGTTCGAACCCGAACGATCTACGAGCTCGACGAGGACGAGGACGTACGCATCTCCCGGGAGAGGTGAGCGTTCCTCGATCTGGGTCACGCTCTTAATCGAGGGGGGGAGGGGAGCAGTCCTGGGATATCCTGGACGGACCGTCCAGGATCGTCTCCGGGGGGGACGGGGGGGATCCCGGCGAGGGCTCGGGAGGAGGAATAAAAATAGCGACAACGTCGTCTCGCGCGCGCAGGGTGGGGCCTGGCAATGGCTGGATAGCGTCACCGACGCTATCTCCACGCGCTCGTCGCGTCGCGTCCCCGACCAGGGGGGGAGGGGGGAGAGGGGGCGTCATCGGCGAAACGAGCGATTTAACGCGATCCAAGGAGGAGGTCGTCGAGCGAGAAAAGTCCTGGGCGACCCCGTTCGCGCGACCGGCGTGGGTTCCCCCCGTCAACCCCTTCATCGCCTTTTTTTCTCACCCGGTATGTAACGTGTGCGCTTTCTCCCACTTTTTCATCACGATTTTCCGTCCCGGACGCTCTCTCTCTCTCTCTCACTCTCTTTCTTTCCAGCTATCTCATCTTCAGGGGAGTTTAAAGCTACTTCTCGGGGAACTTCCCGAGGCTGTACTCACCGTAATTA